GAGGAGATTTTCCCCAGGGGATGACCATGTCGCAATCCGTTCTCCATTCTTTTGGGATTTTGGCCAAAAGAACACAAACACACACCTGGCATTTCTCAAGTCACCAGGTCCAGGACTTGAGTTGTACACTTGGCCATGTGGGATCCAGCCATCTTAACCTCCATGCCACCTGCTGGCCCATAATTTGTCTATTTTATCCAAAAATTTATTTATTTTTATCATGAGAGAGAGGAGAGAGAGACAGATACAGAGAAAGACTGACAGAGAAAGACAAGTACCTTCAACTAGATCTCACACTGTAATCCTCTCCCCAGCCCTCATAGCCAGCCAAAGCCATGCATGCTTACCATGTATATATAGATCAACTCAGGAACCAAACCCTGATCTTCCACGTTGCTCTAGCATTGCAGAGTGGCATGGCAGTTCTGTCCCACTATCATTAAGCCCCTATATCTTCTTTTATTGTTTGTGTTTTTAGTGTTCTAGCTAAAAATTCATTCCCAAGTCTAGATCATGAGGATTTACCTCATATTTTCATTTAAGAGATTACGATTGTAATTGTAGTCATTTTAGTAATTCTTTTTATACCTTTGATACATTTTCAATTAATTTTTGTATGTGGTGTGAGGCAGGGGTTCAACTTCATTCTTTTGCATGTGGATATCCAGTCATCCCAGCACTACTTGTTGAAGAGTCTTCTTTTCCCATTGAATGGTTTGGCACCCTTGCTGAAAATCAATGGAGCACAGATGGATAGATTTATTTCTTTTCTTTCTTTTTCTTTTTTAAAGAATTATTTTATTTAACTTTATTTATTACTATTATCATTATTATTTTCCAGTTTAATCAGAGAGAGACAGAGAGAGAGAGAGAGGAAGTGAGAAAGCAAGCCACCAGGTCCGAGACTTGAACCGTGGTTGGCCATGTGGAAGTCCAGCGTCCCTATCCACCATGCCACCTGTCGGCCCCCGGATAGATTTATTTCTGAACTCACAACTCTATTCCATTTTATCTGTATATTTATACTTGTGCCAGTGCCACAGTGTCTTTTTTTTTTTAACAGATTTATATTTTCTTATTTATCTATTTGTCTCTTTGTTTGTTTATTTTAATTTGACCAGAGAGAGACAGAGTGTGAAAGAGAGAGAGAGAAGGAAAATGAGAAAGCAAGCCACCTGGTCTGGGACCTGAACCACAGTCAGCCATGTGGGAGTCCAGTATCCCCAACCACCATGCCACCTGCCAGCCCTGACACTGTCTTAACTGTAGCTTTTAAGTAAGTTTTGAAATTGGGAAATGTAAGCCCTACAAGTTTGTTTTCCTTTTGCAAGATCATGTTGACTATTTGATTCGCATATAATTCCATATGAATTTCTACAAGCACCATTTCCATTTCTGCAATTAAAATGCCATTGTGAGGCCAGCAAGTGGCATGGTGGTTAAGGTAGCTGGATTCCCACATGACTGATTGTGGTTCAAGTCCTGAACCTAGTGGCTTGAAAATCACACTGGGGATGTGTGTGTACATGCCCAAAATCCCAAGAAGAGAATGAAGGAGAAGCGATCATGCTTGGCCATCCCCCTGGAAAGGTAGTTTCTTTTTTTTTTTTTTTTTTTGAGAGGTTTTCGCTATAGGGCGTGTGCGCTCGCCAGACAGACAGAGACATAGAGACAGAAAGCGAGAAATCACCCCCCAGGGGGGATGGTCACGCCGCAATCCCTTCTCCTCCATTCTCCTCTCGGGATCTTGGGCACGCACGCACACACACGCGCCCGGCGTGAGTTTTAAGCCACTAGGTCCGGGACGCGAACCGCGGTCAACTATGTGGGAGTCCAGCGACATAGCCATTACACTAACTGCTGGTTCCCAAGGTAATTTCTCATGTTCCCTCTCTGTCTCTCTCCTCTCTGGTGAGCATATGCACCCTATCGCAAAAAAAAAAAAAAAAAAAAAAAAAAATCATTGAGATTTAATATTTTTTTATTTTTGAAGGGTGGTAAGTGGATTGCCTAGTCAATTTTTTAAAAAATAATTATTTTATTTAACTTTATTTATGTACTTATTCATTTTAATTTGACTACAGAGGGACAGAATGAGAGGGACAGAAATTGAGAAACCAAGCCACCAGGTCTGGAACTTGAACCACATCAGCCATGTGGGAGTCCAGAACCCTTAACCATCATACCAACTGCTGGCCCTTATTTTTTTTTTTTAAGATAATATTTTTGGTATAGAGAGTGCTTGCCAGAGAGACAGAGAGACAAAAAAGCAAGAAATCACTCCCCTGCCCCCCGCCCCTGCCAGGGGAGACGGCCACACCACAGTCCCTTCTCCTCCATTCTCTTCTTGGGATTTTGAGCATGTGCCTGGCGTGTGTTCCAAGCTGCAGAATACTGTGGTCGACTACGTAGGAGTCATCATTACACCATCTGCTGCTCCCACCTAGTCAATTTTTTAGTTAGTGAGTTTTTCTTCCTCCTGGAGAGCACATGCACTCAAACAGAGAAACAGAAATAGAAACCATCCCCCAATTGGACATGGCCACACTGCTATTCTTTTTCCTTCATATCTCCATCAGCACTTTGGGCATGCACATACACATGCCTGGTGTGTTTTCAGGCCACTGGGGCTGGGACTCATGCTGTCATCAGCCATGTGGGCCCCGGCTCCCTGTGCACTGCACTTAACGCTATGGGTTTTGGAAATCAGGACTTTGCCTAGTGTTAGAGATCATTGCAAAAATTACTCTACCTCCCAGCTCAGTCTTCAGTCTAGATTCCTTTCATGCAAAGTATGGGAAAGGGAACATTTCTACCAGTTCTGGCCTTTTTTACTTCCTCAGCCCCCACTTCTAGAAAGGTCTTGTGGTCTAATCTTCATTCATTCATTTTTCTTTTAAGATTTTTGTCACAGGGCACATCACGTGCTTGTGGGGGTGGGGTGATGAGGGAGAGGGAGGGAGAGAAATCACCCCCTCTGGGGGCTGGGGGCAGGGGACAACCACACTAGAATCCCTTTTCCTCTATTCTCTTTAAATTTTGAGGTGTCAGTAGGTGGTGTGGTGGTTAAGGACGTTGGACTCCCACATGACCAACTGCGATTCGAGTCTTGGACTTGATGGCTTGCTTTTCTTACTTTCTTTCTCTCTCTCACTCTGTCCCTCGTGGTCAAATTAAAATAAATAAATAAAGTTAAATAAAGTATATTTTAAAAAAAAGAAAGAAATTTTGGGCACGCATTGAAAGTACACATCTGTTTTTCCTTTTTCTTTTCAGAGAGATTTTTTGCTATCGGCTGCATGCACTCTTAAGGACGTTGGACTCCCACATGACCAACTGCGATTCGAGTCTTGGACTTGGTGGCTTGCTTTTCTTACTTTCTTTCTCTCTCTCACTCTGTCCCTCGTGGTCAAATTAAAATAAATAAATAAAGTTAAATAAAGTATATTTTAAAAAAAAGAAAGAAATTTTGGGCACGCATTGAAAGTACACATCTGTTTTTCCTTTTTCTTTTCAGAGAGATTTTTTGCTATCGGCTGCATGCACTCACAGAGAGACAGAGCAATAGAAAGTGAGAAATCACCTCCCACAGGGGAGAGGCCATGCTGCAATCCCTTCTACATTCTCTTCTCAAGATTTTGGGCACTCATGCACACGTTCCTGGCATGAATTTTAAGCCTGAGGGTCCAGGACTCGAACTACGGTCGACGACGTGGAAGTCCAGTGACGTAACCATTAAGCCATCTGCTGCACCCCTCCCCTCCCCCCAGCCACATACACATGTGTTTTTCAAGTTGTCAGGTTTGGGACTCAAACTGTGCAGTCGGCCATGTGGTATCCAGCACCTTAACCACCAGACCATCTGCTAACCCATTCTTTCTTAAACATTTATTTTATTTGTGATAGAGACTGCATACATGAGCAGAGGAGAGAGAAGAAAGAGAAATAACCCTCAACAGGGTCTCGTCGGGCTGTGATTTTCTTTCCCCATCTCTCTAGCTTGTCAAGATCTTGGCATACACGCACATGCCTGGCATGTTTTCAGGGTGACCTGGGGATCCTAATCTGAGGTTGGACAAGTGGCCTCCAGCACCATGCCACACTTCAGTTTGTTACCAACTATGCCACTAGCCTGGGCCATAATCTTTATTCTTGCTACCATATTAATCAAACAGGAACTACTCTTCCCCAGAGACCAGACAGTGGCTCAGCAGTAAAACACAACACTCTGTGAGGTCGATCCTCATAGGAAAGTTCTAGGTTCATGTTCAGAGACTTCCTTGAATACACTGAGCATACACATGCCCGTGATCAAGAGCTGGCCAGGGCTAGAGGTAGATCATGGTGTCAAGACCATTTTGGTGTCTTGCTGTCTCTCTGTCTCACTCATAGAAGAAATAAGTAAAGATAAACAAAAACTACTCTTCCTTGACTCTTTCAAACACTCTCTCATTTGCTCCAAGATTCATACTCTCATTCCCAGTCACTGACCCTCCTCCTTTATTTATAATCTCAGACTGAGAAAGCTGTAAGAGATAAAGGATTACTTATTCAGTTCCCTCCTCACTTTACTAAGTGTGGAAGTGAAGTCCCAGAGGAAAGCCAGTGAGTGGCTGAAGCAGGACCAGAACCCTGTCTGTTTCCTGTCCGATTCTTCTTCCACTAAAGGGAGGAGTCTTGGTGAATAAACCTGGATATAGATCTTAGTGCTTTCAGGCCCAGTCTCCAGACTCTTTAGTAGGCCATTTTGCCCAGGCTGGCCATGTGACATCTGCATACAGGAGGGACAGATCTCCAAGGCCACTACCTTGGAATGGCACCTGCCTTCTTCCTGCCATTTTGAAGGAATTGCTGAATCCACAGAGGAAGTGAAACTATAAGGGGAGATGAAGAGTTGGGGCAGAGTCTTGACAATGACAACTACAAGCTAAGTTTAGTGGTCTGAGAACTTTGGGGTCCTCCCTGAAGACCTATATATCCCCTTTTATATTTTATTACAGGCCATGGTGGCTTTGTCAATAGTCTTTGTTTTCCTGCTGGCCCTGAGCAGAGGTGAGAGTGAATTAGACGCCAAGATCCCATCCCCAGGGGAGGCCACGCAACAGGAGGATCCTGACCTGTCCTTGCGGGGGTCCTGCCAGCCAGCCCCCTCCTGTCAGAAGTGCATCCTCTCACACCCCAGCTGTGCATGGTGCAAGCAACTGGTAAAGACTGGCTCGTAGCCTTTGAACCATGTGCGTGTAGAGCAGCCTGGATGGAGATGTGTGGTTGTGTGGGCACGCGTGTGATCGTCTGGTTACACTTGGTAGTTCTGAGTGTGACTGAGCTTTTGCAGACAGGGCCTTGTGTGTGTATGTGCATGTAGGTAAGGTTCTTGTGCATGTACAATGTCTGCATCCGTTTACTATATATGGGAGGGACTCGTGACCATGAATTTGAAGGAAGTACATGCTTGTGACAAGTCATGCTTACATACAGGTAGAGGGACCATCATGCATGTACATATGTGAGACAGTGTGTTAGCCAGTTCAGGCTTCCATGACTAAACGCCACAAATTAGGTTGCTTATGCAATAGGAATTTATTTTTCATAAATTGGAGGCTGGGAAGTCCAAGATCAAAGTACTGGCTGGCTGATTTGGTTCCCAGGTGAGGATTCTTTTTCTGGCTTGAAGATTGGCCACCATCTCACCATGTCCTCACACAATAGAGGTTGGGGGTGAAACAAGAGGCAGAGGCAGGAAACCAGCTCTTTGGGTTCTCTTCATATAAGGGGACTAATTCCATGATGAAGGTCCCACCCTCTTGACCTCATCTAAACTTAATTACCTTCCAAAGGACCCACTTCTAAATACTATCACGTCAGGGATTAAGGCTTCAGTATAGGACTTTGGGCGGGGGTGGGGGGGCAGGTTTCAGTCCGTATAGAAAGTGTGTGACTGGGTTTCTGAGTCTGTGCCTAGGGGTGGGGGTACTAAGTTCCTGGGTGTGCAGCAGCCTGTTACTGGCCCATAGAAGGGCAGGGGTCGGGAGGCTGTGGGTTTGGTGGGAGATGGGGAGACTTGAGCTAACAGGTGTCCTCCCAGCTGGTCAAACAAAGCTGTTCTTTATTACTACCTTAGAGACAGGGCTCATAGAATGGCAGAGCAGGAAGGGGGCCAGAACTGGGGGTACTGCAGAACCACCTCTCTCATGGGAAGATGGGAGTGCAGGCCCTGAGATAAAGATGAGAGGGTGAACTTATGAGGAGACAGAGCTGCGGGTGCCAAGAGGGCCAGGAGAAAGGCACAGAGTGAATCCGGAAGGACAGGAAGGGTGGAGTCAGTCTAGGGGTGGTGCAGAGAGGCGGAGGTGCAGACCAGGTGTGGGGAAATGAGGCTCTTGGGACAGTAGGGTCTGTGTCTGTCTCCAGTTCTCAGACCTGGGGCTGGTATCCACGGAAGCTAAGCCACTCTAACCATTTCCTTCCCCTGTGGCTTCCTAGGCAGTGGGAGTGTGTCTCCTCTTCTGTCCCCATCCTTTCACTTCTCAGGAACTGCGGGTCTGAGCCAGACCCCCTTCTCCTTAGGTCTGAGCATGCAGGGGAGCTTGGACCCCGGAGACGGGCTCCCCCCACCCCCCTTATTTGTGGTAATGAGGTCTCTGAGATCTCAACAGGAAGTTCTGTGGCTCTCAAGAGAGAGGAAGAAGGGTGGGTGGCTGGGGAAAGGGGAGTTGAGATAAGGGGAGGAGAGGGGCTCTGACAAGAAAGAGAGGAGTTCAAGGGGAGGGGAGGCAATCAGGGGGGCTCAGGAAGGTGACTTCACACGGAGGGGGAGGAGGAGGGGGACGACTAGGGGTGGCCGGGCTGGGCGTGAGGCACTGGTGGAGAAAAGGGGTCCGGACGCCCCCGGTCTGTGCAGAACTTCACCGCCTCGGGGGAGGCAGAGGCGAGGCGCTGCGGCCGGCGGGAGGAGCTGGCTGGCTCGAGGCTGCCCACTCCAGGAGCTGGAAGAGCCCCGCGGCTGGCAGGACGTACTGCAGGACGAGCCACTCAGCCAGGGTGACCGCGGCGAGGGGGCCACCCAGTTGGCACCGCAGCGGGTCCGGATCACGCTGCGACCTGGTGAGTTACGGGTGGAGACGAGGGCAGAGGTCGGGCTGCGGTGAGAAGACGCTCTGCGGACGTGCCCCTTCTTCCCCCAAGGAGAGACCCAGCAGCTCCGGGTGCGCTTCCTCCGTGCCGCGGGATACCCGGTGGACCTGTACTACCTTATGGACCTGAGCTACTCCATGAAGGACGACCTGGAACGCGTGCGCCAGCTCGGGCACGCCCTGCTGGTCCAGCTGCAGAAGGTCACCGACTCCGTCCGCATTGGTGAGCGGAGAGCTGCCTGGATTTGCCAGCCCCGGCCTCAGCCTGCTGTCTTAGCCTCGCCAACGTCCAGGACTCCCAGGAGCCCAGCTTACCCTCTCCCCGTATTTACCAGATTTGGCCAGGCCGCATGTTCCTGATAGCTGTCCCCAAAGACAACCCATCTTCTAATGAAGGGGACTTCAAGAGACTGTCCAATAGGACACCTCCTTCTAGTCTAGAGAGACTGCAGTCAGTTCCCTGGGGTTAGAAGGCTGCCCCTGACCTACCCAGGGAAAAACCCGCTCTGATGCTACCGAGTCAACCCAGTTCTCTTGGATAGGCCTAGGTGCCATGGTCCCTGGCTCCACATTCTGCGCTCCTCACTCCCCTGTTCCAGAAACTCCCTCTGCTTCCTTCTGGTCTTGGACCCTGCACCCTGGGGCTTCTTCTTCAGCCTGCAGGAAGCCCCTGCTTGCACCCTCTTGGGGTTTTTTTGTTTGTTTGTTTTGTTTTGTTTTACATTTATTTATTTATCTATCTATTTATTTTTTTTGCTTTTCAAGTGGCCAGGTCTGGGATTTGAACCAGAGTTAGCCATGTGCAAATCCAGCACTTTAACCACCTTGCCACCTGCTAGCCCAAGTCCTCCTCTTAATCTCCTCCACCCCCAACTTCCCTGAGCCGGGCTCACTCCTTTGCCCAGCCAGGTACTGGGCTCTGTCCTCTAAGACCACGCTCCCACAGCACCTCCTCTGTGATGGCCCTCCTGTCCCCAGGTTGCCGTCCTTGTGGGTCCTCAGCAGTGACTCTTCCATCCTGCTGGCTCAGCCCTCATGTTTCCTCCTCCCAGGTTTCGGCTCCTTCGTGGATAAGACAGTGCTGCCCTTTGTGAGTACAGTACCCGCCAAGCTGCGCCACCCCTGCCCCACCCGACTGGAGCCCTGCCAACCCCCCTTCAGCTTTCGCCATGTGTTGTCCCTGACGGACAACGCTCAGGACTTCGAGCGGGAGGTGGGGCGCCAGAGTGTGTCTGGCAACCTGGACTCCCCGGAAGGTGGCTTCGATGCCATTCTGCAGGCTGCACTCTGTCAGGTGAGGAGGCAGGGCAGGGATCTGAACCCAAGGGTTGTGGGCTGCCAGGGTCTCCTCCCATGGTTGTGTAGCACACAGCTCTAGGGCTGCCACTCATGGCATAGTCACTGTAGTCTTCGTACTTAATGGCCACCTGGTGGATTGTGGACAGTATCTCAGAGAAGGGGCATCTTTCTCCAATTCACAAGAAAGGCTTCTACTAGCAGCACTCCTGTTCTGGGGGCTGGGGAGAGCAGAGAGAAGCAGGGAGATGGAGGCAGGGGGTGGACAGACTGACTCCTAATGAAGCTAGCCAAATCCTTTGCTCGGAGCACTGGCTGGGGTGGCTCAAGGGTCACGCCAGGTGCACAGCCTACTCCCACTGCACCCCAGAAACAGATTGGCTGGAGAAACGTGTCCCGGCTGCTGGTGTTCACTTCAGATGACACATTCCACACAGCTGGAGACGGGAAGTTGGGTGGCATTTTTATGCCCAGTGATGGGCACTGCCACTTAGACAGCAATGGCCTCTACAGCCGCAGCCCAGAGTTTGTGAGTGTCCTCACCCTGCCCCTCCCCATGTGGGCCATGGTTTCTCTTTCCAGGATCCCCAGTCCCTAGCCTCACACTCCTCGCTGGTGACCACCTGTAGACACCCTGCCATCTCCCCAGCAGCACCTCCCCTGCATGTCTCCCAGATGCTCGGATGGGAGACCTGTGTCTCCCCACTCCCTACTTCCTTGGTTCTCCTCACCAAGCCTCCAGGGGTCCTGCAGTTGGTGGAACCCCAGTTCCTGGATTCCCTGGGCTGAGGGCACCTTGCATGTTCTGGGGGAGATCTCTCACCTTGTTCCTGTTCCCTGCCCCAGGACTACCCCTCTGTGGGTCAGGTAGCCCAGGCCCTCTCTGCAGCAAACATCCAGCCCATCTTTGCTGTCACCAGTCCCACACTGCCTGTCTACCAGGTGAGAGCTGTCCAAATGCAATTCCCTACCCCATCCCACTCTGTCAGTTTTCCCAAAGATCTATTCTCTGCCCCCTACATTTCCTCCTTCCAGACTCCCAGGAATTCATTTCCCTAGAGCTGTGCCCTACCATTTCCATAAACTCCTCTTAACTCAGGAGCTGAGTAAGCTGATTCCAAAGTCTGCAGTCGGGGAGCTGAGTGAGGACTCCAGCAACGTGGTACAGCTCATTATGGACGCTTATAATGTGAGGGACTAGGGTAGGGGGGACAACAGTGGTAGTGGGTGCTGGGGAAAGGAGAACTAGGAGGAATGATCACTTTTTGGTCTAACAGCTCACAGCTCCTGCCTGCACTTTGCATGTGGCTGTCATTAATATTCACTTGCTGTCTCATGGTCATAAATCTTACGTGTTTGCTAGGTGTAGAGCATGGAGCCCTTCTGTACTGGTCTGCTGCCATGTTGCTAAATATGAAACACCTGGCACTGTGCGATTTATAAAGGATAGAGGTGTATTTGGCTCATGGGATTGGTGACTAGGAAGTCCAAAGTCATGGGACCAGCGTCAGCCAGTCTCTGGAGCTATGTCATAACATGGCTGACAGGAACAGTGGGTAGGCTGGGCATGTGCAAAGAGAGAGGAAACAGAATCTCCCTCTTCCCCTGTTCGCCCCTCCCATCTGGATGCCAAGGTGGACACAGGGTAGAAATTCTCATACCACAAGAAAGGAGTAACAATTCAAGAAGGTAGACATTAGATCTTTTATTTTATTTTTAAAATAATTAGTTTATTTAACTTTATTTATTTTAATTTGACCAAGGGGTGGGGGGGAGAAAACTGCCGTATCTGGGACTGGGACTCGAACTGTAGTTGGCCATATGGGAGCCCAGTGCCTTTAACCACCATGCCACCTGCCGACCCCAGATCTTTTTTTTTTTTT